AGTTTGATTCCAGATACTGGAAAAAAAGCCTTAAATAAATCAATAAAAGTAAACTAGAGATTGCAAGTGCAAGGTCTCGAGTTCAATCCTCGGTAAAAAAAAAAAAAAAAAAGAGTAAACTAGAGATATGGGTGCAGTGGTACACACCTCTAATCCCAGCAGTCTGAGAGAGTGAAGCTAAATTGCTGAGGCCTAGATGATTTAGTGAAACCCTGTCTCAAAATTAATAAAAAATTAAAAGAGGGTGGGGATGTAATTCTGTGTGAACACCCTAGGTTTAATCCCCAGGACTTTCAAACAAATGAATAAATAAAAAGTGAGAAGTAAACTAGGCACAGTAGTAGATGCTTGTAATTGTAGCAACTTGGGAGGCTGAAGCAGAGGAACATTAAATTCAAGATCACCCTAAGCAATTTAGTGAGACCCTGTCTCAAATTTAAAAATCAAGTGGTCTGAGAATATAGCTCAGCACTCCCTGGAGTCATTCCCCAGTAAAACACCACACACACACGCACACACACCAATATAAAAAGTCAACATGGTGGCACATGACTGTAATCCTAATACTCTGGGAAGCTGAGGCAGGAGGATCTTGAGTTCAAGGCCAGTATGGACTACATAGTGAGGAACTGTCTCAAAAAAACCCCAAACAGATCCCTGGTACCAAAAAAACCCACCAAAAAACCCAAAACAAAACAAAACAAATCCTTATATGTATTATGTACTTGAGCAGGTATGGGATGTGTGTGGTTGTACAAGTGTAGAGAAAAGTGTGGAAATATACCCACCAAACCATTAGCGCTGCTGGGGCCTGGGATAAGGAGGATATATACATTGAGGAGAACAAAATTGCTATTTTTATTTGGCTTGATGCAAGAAAATTGCATTGTTTTCAGTCAACTAAAATATCTTTCAGTGAATCTGCCTTGAGCTTGTTATAAGCCAGGCACGGTGCTAGGCTCTGGGCGAGTGCAGACAAGGAAGACAACGTCAATGGCCTTAAAAGGAACTTGTAATCTGGGGGAGAGGCAGGAGGTTTAGCCAGCAGCAGTGTTGCAATGTGCTTGGTGCTGATAGGCAGCCCCCAGAGCCTAGGAAGGGGCCCTCTGTTTTATTTTCAGGATGTGATCAAGGGTCATGTGCCAGTGTTCCTGGGAAGAGCTGCTAATATTGGGGTTCAGTCTTGCATGACGTTCTGTTTCTAGATGGAGAATGGTGTGAGGAATATGCTGGGCCAAAAGAACTAAATTTTGAGAGCCAGGCATGGTGGTACACACTGTAATCCCAGCATTTGGGAGGCTAAGGCAGGAGGATCACTGTGAGTTCAAGGCCAGCCTGAACTACATAGTGAGACTCTATCTCAAACAGAACAAAACACAAAACAAAACTTGTGGATTTCATCCTAAAAGCCCCTGCATCTGCAAGGAATAGGATAGATTCCAGCACCTGCAGATGTTCCAAGTCCCTTATGCACAGTGGCACGGTGTTTGGAATGAACCTCACACATTCTCCTGTCTGTCTGTCTGTCTGTCTCCCTTCCTTCCTTCCTCTCTCTTTTTTCTTTCTTTTTTTGGGGGGAGGGGTTTGGAGACAGGGTCTCACTATGTAATTCAGGCTGGCCTTGAACTCACTATGTAGCCCAAGGTGGCCTGGAACTTGGGGCAATCCTCCTGCCTCAGGCTCCTGAGTGCTGGCATTACAGGTGTGTGTCACCATACCTGGCTGAGAGTTGTTTGTATTCGAATGAGATGGAGAGTATTAGGAAAAAAAATGAGGAATTCAAAGTTTGTTTTTGTGGTACCAGGGATCAAACTCAAGACCTTGCGCTTCTGAGGCAGGCGGCGGCAACACTGAGCTAAATCCCAAGCCCAAGAATTTGAAGTTATATAGTTGTGGATTAAGCTGGGTGAGGTGGCCTATACTTGTGGTTCTAGTTTCTCAGGAGGCTGAGGTAGGAGGATTACAAGTTTCAGGCCAGCCTGGGCAACTTAGTGAGACCCTGTCTCTCCAAACCACCTCCTCCTAAAAAAAAAAAAAAAAAAAAAAAAGGCCAAGTCTGTAGTTTAGCATTCCACTCCTTGTGTTCAATCCCTAGTACTGGAATGGGGTGGGGGTGGAGGAGACTAGATGAGAACTAAAATTCTGCCTCTGTTATTTCCTAGACTGCAGCCTTTAATGAATCATGTGGGCATTTGTCCAGTTAAACATCTTCTCACCCTGAGCCACAATACTCTCCGGTCATGGTCTGTTTCCAGCTTTACCTTTTACTTTCAGTCTTCACAGGGTAACCTAAGTAAATTCTTTGTTTGTTTTTTGGTGGTACTGGAGATTGAATTCAGGGCCTTTGTACTAAACTTACACCCCTATGTAGGGAACAGGGGAAGGGGACGTTACCAGAACCTCTGCAGTGAGTCCTGGTCTCCTGTGAGCCACGGCAGCACACGGCGAATTACAGGAAAGGTAGAAAAATGAGACTCAGAAGAAGCTGAGCTTTGGGTCTGATCAGTGCTGC